ACTAGCAGGCACACACACAAGCTCAATCACTAGCAGGCAAACACACACACACACAAGCTCACTCACGAGCAGGCACACACACAAGCTCACTCACTAGCAGGCACACACACAGCACTTTATCTTACATATGACTGAGACCCACAACATCATAATCCAAGAATTGAGAAGACATACATCTAAAGATTTCTGAATACACACACACAAGCTCCCTCACTAGCAGCTACACACACACACACAATCTCACTCACTAGCAGCCACACATACAAGCTCACTTACTATCAGCCACACACACACAAGCTTACCCACTAGCAGGCGCGCACACACACAAGATCACTCACTAGCAGCCACACACACACAAGCTCACTCACTAGCAGGCACACACACAAACACACACACTCACTAGCAGCCACACACATACACACATGCTCACTCACTAGCAGGCACAAACACACACACAAGCTCACTCACTAGCAGCCACACATACACAAGCTCACTCACTAGCAGGCACACACACACAAGCTCACTCACTAGCAGGCACACACACACAAGCTCACTCACTAGCAGACACACACACAAGCTCACTTGCTAGCAGCCACACTCACTAGCAGCTACACTCACACACTAGCAGGCACACACAGACACACACACAAGCTCACTCACTAGCAGGCACACACACACAAAATCATTGTCATGGCTGAAGCTTAGCTGGAAGTGGTAGGTGAAGTTGCCCTTTTGTGGCCTCTTCCTTCCAGCGAGGTCAACAACATGCGTGGGGGCAGGGCTTACATCCGGGACGGGGAATGCGGCCTAAATTGATGTCAATTTTGAAGGAGACTGACAGATCTCCATCTGACCCGCCAGCAGCCTAGTTGAGGCTGCACCAGCCCCTAGCTCCTCCCTCTTTACTCCCCTCGGACTGACACAGGCTGGCTCAGACTAAGGGGAAAACAGGAGCCTGATGTCCAGCCTCAGATGCCCGGCCCACCGTGAATTTCCTGGTATATCGGTGGGCCAGTCCCTCCCTGGCAGCATGCAAAGCTAAGAATATTACTGAACTGGAGCAATGGCCTACCATTCCTCAGGAACGCTGCCAGAAGCTGGTGTCTGAATATGCATTGTGTTTGCAGCAGGTCATAACAGCAAAAATGGTGCTCTATTAAGTACTAAAGATGCTTGCCATAAAGGGGTTGAATAATTTTGAGACTGGAGAAGTCATTATAAGTTGCATTTTCAGGTGAATTTGGGAAAACCACTTGAAGCCTTTGTTGTGTTGAGCTATTTTTTTTTTTTTTAATTCTTTATTTATGTTGACAAGGTATAACATACATATATCATGTGTCTTTCGTATCTCAAACATATTGTAACATGCACAGTATGTACATAGTATCTTGACATTCACGAGATATAATCATACAATGAGCAGCACACTGATAGCCTCTCTCCTCACCCCCAAAGCCTATCGTGTGTGCTACTGTAGCTCTTTCTGATACTGCGAGTTGTATTTTGTCAACTTAATTTTGTGTTTTATATATAAAAAGGGAAAGAAGAAAGAGTCAGGAGAGAGCGTAGTAGAAGTGAGTTGGGGTGGGGGGGGGATGGTGGGGGGAGAAGCAACCAAACTGCTTCCTAGCGTTCTACCATCCAGTGGACAGTGGATATATTGGGTCTCTCTAAGCCAAGGGGCTGTCATCCCAAGGTGCCCATATTTTTTGGAACTGTTTCAGTTCCCCTAACTCTTGCCATCAGGTCATCCATTGTGTGTACCTCCCTTATTCTTGTGCAGGATTCAGAGGTGGTAGCCTCTGGTTATGACCCCTGCTATCGCTGGGGTGGTCTGTTTAAGCCAATCTGCTGCTACCGCTCTCCTGGCTGCTAGAGTTATTTTATGGATGAGTTTTTGTTCGTGTCTGGTCCACCCATCTATTGTTCTACTGAGTAGGAACAGCCATGGATCTAGGGGAGGGGATCTGGACATTACCTGGGCTAGTAAATCTCTGATTTGTTGCCAGAACCTTGCTATCAGTGGGCATTCCCACCACATGTGGATATACGTCCCTTTCATGCCGCATCCTCTCCAGCATATGTCAGTTGGGTTCTTTCTTATTTGGTGCAATCTTACAGGGGTAGTATACCAGCGAAACATTGTTTTAACTGCCTGTTCCTGTAATGTTACGCATACTTAGGACTTATGATTGGCTTCCCAGATCTCCTGCCACTCTATGCCTTCTAATTGTTCCCCCAGATCCCTCTCCCATTGTTCCGTATAAGCTAAGTCTCCCCTTTAATTAGGCTCCGAGCAGAGGTGAGCATATAGCCGAGTTATCAGACCTGTCGGAATATGGTCCTGGAGGCATATTTGTTCGAAAAAGGTCATGGGTTTTTGGGTAGCAGTCCTGACCCACTGAAGTTTTGCAAAGTCTTTTATTTGTAGGTACCTAAAGAAATCTGCAGGTGTGAGGTGACCATATTGCTGTAAGGTGTCAAAGGCTACCACCTCTGAATCCTGCACAAGCTGATGAATGCGTTGTAAGCCTATCCTTTCCAGGTTCCTAAACGTGTTGAGCTATTTTAATTGCTTTTGTTTGATTTGTTCATTGCAAACAGTGAAAAGTCTGTACATTTTCACAATAACCTGATTTTCAATAGGGGTTGAAAATTTTTTACGACTTTATATAAGATGTAAAGCAAACCAGTGTCCAACTGATGTCGAGCATGAAAAAAAAGGGTAATATGGAAAAGAGGGTCAATTCATGCTTTTTTGTCTGGGGATTTTCCTATCTAACTGGGATTGCGGGAGAAGACAATTAATATTTCTATACCTATTTATTATATATCATGTCATAGGTCAACCAATCAATGTTTCATTAAGAAGAGATTGGTTGTGTAAAATATCTCTAATAACAGTGGTATTTGTGCCAAAAGTAAAGCATGTAATTCTATTGATATAAGTATTTTTGTCCTACTGTGTCAGGTTAATACATAAGGTTAGAGGTAGGACTAAATCTACAGGCACTGGAGTATTTATGTTGTAGATTGTGCCTTGTAAACAGCATGGCAGTTGTAGCCTCGACTACCAGGCTGTGTCTATTATAAATCAAACCACAAGGCACAGACATAGTGCGTAGAAAAGGCCACAGCCATTTTTATTTATTCCAACAAGTCAATGATCCCAAACATACCTAGAATTCCACCAAGGCCTCCAATTAACATTAAATATATATTGAACTTTATAACAACATTAGGCAATGACAATGTTTTTTTAACACAGGGTTAACATAACCCTAAATAACTTCAAGACTGTAATTAGCATAATTCACCATTAACAATTTAACCTTTCCAGCACCAGATTGCTACCACAAATCCCTGTGTTGGGACCGATCCAACCGCTGGGACAGAACCATTTGCCCAGCCCCCCATTTAGGCTGAGCCCCTCCTTTGGCTCAAAATCTCTCACCAAACCTCCATTAGGCTATCACCACATCCTCATTGTGAGGCCATAGACCATCCCCAGGAGCAAGCTACTGCAAATGCCCTAGCGAATTACTTCATACTCTGCTTGGGCTACACCACCCAATAAAAACAAGGCCTTTTCTACACCCTCCAGGTAATTCTAGAAAAAAAAAATCCGATAAATGGACCCCATCTGCAGCAATGCGTCACCACTACACCCTTTAGGGACGATGCGTCACCACTACACCCTTCAATTTTCTAGTAAAAATTGACATTAACTAATTAACTTTCCGCCTGCTGTGCTCCATTCCTGGAGTTCCCTCACAAACCTCCACTGCACCCTAGTTACCATCTTGGTCCAAACCAGTATTACCTGAAGGACCAGTTCCCTAAAAAGCTGCATGTCCTTCTGCGTGACCTGTACCAAGTCCCTCTGTGGAACTAACCCCATGTTTTTCCCCCCAGCAAGAATCACCATGTTGTCAGGTGGGCTGTGCCGGAGAATAGAACTCAGCACCACAGGCAAAACCCCGTCCCACCACATACCTCAGACCACGAAGCACTCCACCTGCAACAGTTCCACAGGAACCAGTTGCGGCTCTCCTTTTGGACCAGTACATAAAAGAGTGGCCGATGATCAAAGCCATGTATTTTGTGCCCACACTAGACCCCAGAACCTACAGCGAATGATGTGGCCATACAAATGTTGGGAATCTATTGGATTCCCTGCGCCCGATACACCGAATGACCGGGTCCCACAGAGCTAAGAGCGCCGCCTTGGGTTTCAGCCCCAATTCTAAAATAATGTGTCCCAAAGTCTCCATCTGGAAGACCCAATACCACCAAGCCTTTCCAGAACACTTGTAGAAATTAAAACTTGGAAAGAGACACACTGTTCCTCGGTACTATCAAAGACCCTGCCCCCTCTGGGCGCACTGACAGATACTCCACCAGGCAGGCCACTGGGCAAACAGCAGTACCTAAAGCACTATGGATAACTATACCTACCCCTTTTCACAGCACAGCCATCCTGTACGAGCATAACAGAATGACGAGACACTCCTTCAGAATGACGAGACAATGTCCTGCAATGTCAAACCCATTTCTCACAACCAGGCCTCGCTGACCAACTCAGACACCTTGAACACCCCAAAACATGCCATCCTTGCAAAATTTGGTTCCTAGCTTCTAAAAAAATATCCGGACAAGGATACCTCTCTGACTCTCAGGGCTGCCATCAGAAATTTTGGGGCCCCTGACACAGCTCAAGGTCTGGGGCCTGCCCCCGAGTCCGCCCACAGGGCCACCCCTGGGTCCGCCCTCGAGTCTGCCTACAGGGATGCAGTGTGTGTACTGATTGTAGTGTGTGTATAGTGGATGCAGAGTGCGTGTGTAAAGTGGATGTAGTGTTTGTGCAATGGATGCAGTGTAATGTATGAGGTGTATATTAGATGCAGAGTGTGTGTTTGTGTAGTGGATGTAGTGTGTGTGTGTGTGTGTATAGTGAATGCAGATTGTGTGTGTTTGTGTAGTGGATGCCTGAGCCAGTGGCTCTGCAGAGGGGGCCCGCAGCACACTCTCACTTCCCTTCCTACAGCTCCCCTGTCTAACTCTTGCTGCCTGCCATGGTAACCCAAGGTAACGCTCTGATGGCCACAGGACTCACAAGATTCAGACAGGGGAGCTGCTGGGAAGAGAAGTTAGAGTGTGTTGCGGGCCCCCTCTGTAACAAACAGGTAGCCGGGGGTCTGCAGGTACACATATATATATATATATATATATATATATATAGCGAAAAAAAATATGTGTACATAGGTAATGTGGGACCCGGAACTCCCAGAGCAGTCCGGGACCCAAAGGACCGGTGGGCCCATGACAACCGCATCACTTACTTGTATTTGGTTAGATTTTTGCCTATTTTTCACATACAGGGCCACCACTCCCCTTTCTTGCCTACTCTGTCTTTTCTATCTAAAGAGTACCTAGCTGGTATTGCTATGTTCCAGTCATTTTTCTTATTGTGCCATGTCTCTGTAGCAGCCACTAAATCTGCATTTTCAGTTGCCATTATTGTCACAAGATCATGGATCTCATTCCCTAAACTGTGAGCATTTGTAGACATGAATCTAAGCTTAGCATTTTTTAACACACTTACTAAAGGCACTTTCTGTCCTTCTTTTGGGGGGGAGTTGGATTTATGTTTTATCACCCTTTCCTCCCCTCCGGCCCCCACCCCTGTGTGGCGGGTGGGGGCCCTAAAATAAAATAATGGGGGGTGGACCTATTGTCCTCCCCCCGGCCCCCACCACTGAGCGGTGGGTGGGGGCCCTAAATTAGAATAAGGGGGGACTTATTGTTCTCCCCCCCAGGCACCCACCCCTGAGCGGCGGATGGGGGCCCTAAAGTAAAATAATGGGGGGGACCTATTGTCCTCCCCTCAGCCCCCACCCCTGAGCGGCAGGTGGGGGCCCTAAAGTAAAATAATGGGGGGAGCTATTGTCGTCCCCCCTGGAACCACCCCTGAACGGTGGGTGGGGCCCTAAATACCAATAAGGGGGGGGACCTATTGTGCCCCCCTCCCTAAACCCCTAGTCACCTACTCCCAAAAAATGAATTAAAAATAATGAGGGGGGACCATTAACTAGGTACCTGAAAAAAAAATAAACTTACCATTTGATGTCTTCTTTTTTCTAACATCTTTTTTCAGCCCCAAAAAAGGCCAAATAAAAATCCATAATAACCGTTGCACTTTGAAAAACAAAAAATCCATCCCTCTTCACCCATGGAGGGTTCCCCGCAGACTGAGCTCCACAGGTCCCCCCTTCAGGTTAGAAGCTCCCACTCGTGCGGTACGGGTGGGGGCTTTTTTCTTTTTTTTTTTTACAGTGAGCAGCTGACAGGTAAGTCTCTACATTTATCTGTCACAGCACTCTGATTGGTTAGCTTGAAATCCAGCCAATCATAGTGCTCTGTGTCATTTTACACAGCGTGGGAAAGTTCTTTGAAATTTTCCCACGCTGTGTAATTTGACTCATAACAACACTCTTTTTTTTTTTTCAAAGTGCGACTGTTATTATGGATTTTTATTTGGCCTTTTTTGGGGCTGAAACAAGAAGATTTTAGAAAAAAGAAGACATCAAATGGTAAGTTTTCATTTTTTTTTCAGGTACCTAGTTAATGGTCCCCCCTCATTATTTTTAGGGTGAGCGGGGTAGGAAGGGGTTAAATATTTTTTGGGGGAGGGGGGTGACTAGAGGTTTGGGAACTTTTTGAGTCATATATAAATACGTATACATGTGACAATACATGGCGCAATGACTTATGGGGCTGGCATAGATTTTTTTTTTTTCCAGGGCTGCTTTGTATCCCCAGTCCAGCCCTGGTCATAACACAAGCTGTTATTTTGTGTGGTATAACCTCATATCATGCATGCATTATTTTGGATGCTGCATGTGGCTCTATCTTACTGTAATTCTAAAGCAAATCATGCTAGGTGTATTCATGTAGCAGCGTCAAAGGTCAGTAAACCCTCTCCTTTTGGGAGCAAAGACAGACCAATGGCAAGCACATATTTATCTCCTTTTAGTTAGGTGTCCTGTTGGTTTTTCCAGTAGTCCAATAGTGCATCATATGTGCCTTGTCTTTTTTTGTTATTGCGACCCCAAAGGACAACTGTCACCTCAGAACTATTTCTTAATATAACAATCCTTTCATCATGTGCTAAAATGAAATAGATTTTTGTTAAATTAAGTAAATGTAAAAAAAAAAATGAAAAACTCATTATTATTATTTATTTTGCTTTGGGAAAATCCACTTACGGTCAAGTAAGGTGCAGTTGTAAAAACACATTAAGAAAGTATGAATACTGATTCATATCTGCCTGATACTATTTACAGAATTGTTCAATTATATATATTGTCTTCTAAAATATGAATATTGCCTCATGGGCTATAGAGTGGCATAGAATTATCTTATCGGCCATGTCAAGATCACATGTTTAGCTTTGAAACTTGAGCATAAGGTTAAGATTGTGTCATTTATGCACGTTGAGTAATGGGACCTTTTCTCTTTCCAGACAAAGAGCTGGCTGTCACAGGCAATAAATGTGTCAACATCGGGTGACCCTGTTATAAATCTCTCTATGATATAAAGGGGTTGGACTCAGGTAAAAGGTATATGGTATAAAAACCATGGAGTAGTCTGCAAATAAGTAAAACGTTCAACCTGTCTCAGCTGCCTAACTGAATTATTATATATTTCTCTGGTATGTATCATATCTGACTATGCTTTCTTCAAATAATGAATTCATTGTATGTTACAAGTTTGGTAGCTACGCATTTTGTTTTATAACAATTCCAATTCTTAATGCCTCAAAAGAAAACGATCCTAATTACACAGTGGTGGCATGCTTAATTCCATTGTATTTACAGAAAAAAAATGGTTTGGGATATTTTTTAAAATACTACGCACTCTTGCTAGTATCTCGTAAATTTAATCAACTGCATCCATTGGTCCAACACTCTTTCTTGATTCTTGCTCTCCAACTGCAGAAATGGCAACTATTTTTTTTACTATAAATGTCAGAGCGCTAATGCTCTTTACTTTTAAGGGTCAAAAATCTCCCTTTTTTTAACAAATCATTATTTATTATCTACTAATCCTCCACAAATTATAAATTGTCCAATTCTGCTAAAATGAAGATATCAGTAAAACCAGGACTACTTGTGGCCTTTAAGGACTGATTTTAAACCAAAAGATGTAGAACACAAACTTATTCATCAACTTGGTGATATAGCCAATTAGCAGAAACCCTGCCTAAATACACCACAACAGATTTACCGTACAGTTTCCAACATTTATACTTTGTGGAAAGCTCTAAAGTAGGCAAACTTTGGCACTCCAGATGGTGAGGACTACGTCTCCCATGATGCTTTGCCAGCATTATGGATGTAAGAACATTATGGGAAATGAAGTTTACATCATATGAAGTGCCGAAGGTTGCCTATACATGCTCTAGAGGTCATTAACGATCCAAAAATTATTAGACAATTTATTAACACCCTTCCTTCCATCATATTATTTTATTCCAGTATTTCCCACTGGCTCACTATAAATTTATTTGTGAATTTCGTCCATGCATTTAAAGGTTAACCATACATATCATTTAGGATAAAGATATCTCACATGAAGCGGATATCCCTAATCCTTTAACACATCAAAATATCTCACAGACACCAATTCTGTAACTTGATCTGGCCCACCCTTAAGAAAAATCTTTCAACAGCTAAATCTAAAGGTTTCAAAACATAGGTTGTCTGGGAGGGTGGAGATTGAGGGTGTCCGAGAGGCATATGTTGGGGAATCTAGATTTCTCTTTTGATGTTAAATGCTTGGACTTAGACCAAAATACCCACATGAAATAGAAAAAGAGAGCTTTGTTTCAAATGGCATTTACTCTTTTGCTGACTCAGGTAAACATAGCCTACAGCTATAAAACCCTGATCTCTATAGTTGTCACTATTTCACCACTGACTTGTAGCTTAAATATCCAGAACAGTAAGAAATCAGTGAAACCTAATTGCAACATGAATTCTTGCATAATAAATTGCCAAGTGGATGGTACTGTGAGATGAGCATCCTCTATTTAAGGTGGAAATTGTGCATCTAAATATTTTTTATTTACCAAGATAAAAATAAAGTAAGTGATTATTGTACTATAGCACTATAGTTGGATGAGGGAGAGGTGAACTATTTACCTGTGCTAAAATTTCCCAGTGAGTTGGCATACCTTTGGGCAAGTGCACTGCCACCTTGTGCGTACCTGCCTAGGGGTGCCATTGCCAGGTGATCAGCATGAAGGGGAATAAGGCACATGGAAGGGGGAATAAGACACATGGAAGGGGGAATAAGACACATGGAGGGGCTGGGATGGAATGAGACACATGGATGGGGGGAATGGGCCACATGGAGGGGATGGGGTAAAGGAGACACATGGAGGGCTAGGAGGAATGAGACACACGGAAGGAATGTGTAGAGAAATAGCTGAGGGGGAGGAGCTTAGGGGGAGAAATAGACACACAGAGGGGCTGGGAAAGGGCAACAAAACACACAGAGGGGCTTGTGAAGTGGAGAATAAGACACAAAGGGGCCATGGGGAAAAAGACACACATAGAGGCTGTGGGGAAAGAGACACACAGAGGGGTTAGGGAAGGGAAGAAAGAAACAAAGAGACTGGGACTAAGAGACACACAAAATTGGCTTGGGGAGAAAAACACACAAGAAACATTAAATGGACACTATAGTCACCAGAACCACTGTAGTTTAATTTTTTTCCCAGTCCAGCCCTGCTACCAAGTAATAACATATGATAATATGCAAGGTTTGTGTAAATTAAACCTTTTTAAAATTAAACATATATACATATAATTTTACAGAAAAAAACAACAAAAGGAATGTCAATAGCATATCACTGTAAGATACCATAAAAATGGAATGTGAATGTTTTGCACTCATACAATTGATAGAAGGCACATCAAAACTGTGTCGATAGAAAAATCTTTCTTCTAGATGAATATATACAGGTAAAGAAGAAGGACATCCACATAGTGTAGCAGTTAAAACATTACAAACTATTTCTATTAATATTGTACTCACAAAAATATTGCACTCATAAAAGCACATCACAATCCACTGGGTCTGTAGTCATGAAAACCAGACTGGTAACAGGAAAACAGGAACACAGGGAAAGTTGTGAATACAATAAAATGTGATAACAACTCTAAAAAACAATGAAATGCAATAAAAAAACAAATCACCAGTGGGTCTCCCGCCCCTACGCGTTTCGTCCGTACACGGTCTTCCTCAGGGGAATTCACAAGTTCATCTGGATGTTCCAGTCTTGGTGCAGTTTAAAAATCTGTTTTCGCGCCGCCCGGTTTGCCATCAGCCAATCGGAAGCAGTGTTCTTGTGTATTACACCTGCATTCAAAGATGAGTGCCGTGCGGGTCAAGCCTCCATCTCGGCACTCAATGTTGAGGACGTGTATCCGGTTCCGCCTGGAACGTAACATGCTGCTTTGTTTTTTTATTGCATTTCAGTGTTTTTTAAGTAAAAGTTTAAAGTGATTTAAGTGAATTTCCGATTTAAGACGAGAATAGCCAAACTGAAAGCATAGGTTTTTTTCTGTTTTGACCTTAAATTTTAAATTCACTTTGAACTCTCACTTTAGTAAATAACTCCTGAGTGCGTATAATTTTAGTTCCATAAAGCCAATTATATGTGCTATAACTCTTTGTTCCAAAGTGTGTAGCAATTAGGTTTGTTGCAACAGTTTATGTAGTCTGTTTGCTTACTTTGCATCCCTCACATGCATTGTATTCCACACACACACACACACAGACATTATTCGGTGCCTTGTGAAGTGGGATGCTGGTAGGCAAGGTAGAAGGTGGGGGTGAGGGGAGGATCCAGTGTTGCAAATTGCATCACTAATGTCGCTCAAAGGGGGTAGACCCACATAGAAAGGGTGGTCCATCTAAGAACAGGCTGTTCAGACTGTCGAGAATGCTCTCAAGGCTATCTGCCAAGGGTAGACTACACAGAGAGCGCCGCTTCAGCTCTGTCTGCAGGGTCCTAGTATCCTGAGCATAGCAACACTTTCTAGAGACACCAGAGAACAAAGTCGGGACAGAAGGACAGGACCCTAAAATAGGGACTGTACTGCTGAAATCAGGATAGTTGTGAGGTCTTTGTTTGCTCTGCCAGGTGTGTGAAAATGTGCAAATCCAGGGGGCAGTTTATAGAACAGTGAATTATAGTGAACTACGAACAGAAATGTAAGATTGTCTATGTAAATCCCTAAGTTAGAAAAATTTCTTTAGTCAAAGGTTGGCAATTTCAGCCAGTGTTTTGCCATTCGGTTTGCATTGCATTACAAAGCACTGTTTAATGAATTAACCTGAAATGTTGTGGAGAATATTACCATCCATACTGACACATGTCTATGAATACTGTGCCTGCATCAAAAGGACATTAATTGCTTTACACTGTATGACACCATAGTGATTTTGAATACTTGCCAAGGATTGCCACATTCAATGAATATTAATTACTTATGGGAATATTCACTAAACAAGGAATTGTAGTGAATTGAAAATGTATTTTCAAAATTTAGGGAAAGATGGCCAAGTTGTGAATCAACTATTTTGATCTATACATTGCAATTCAGATTTCAGTTCAAAACTATTTTAGTGAATATCTCTCTTAGAAATTATTGAGATAAAAAAAAAAAAGGGGGCAGCTACTTAACTATAAGAGTTTGAAGGAAGAGGGTGATGTAAATGAATGCCAGGCTGACTGGCTATTGCTCTGGCTAACCCGGCTCATGGCTACGCAGAGACAGAGTGCAGCATCTAAAAGTGTGCTTAATTTGTGCTTGCTAAGGGCAACTGTCTGGTGCCGCCATATGGGCTAAAACCCAGGAATAGAACTCTGAACCTGGGACTGTTGACAGACATGTGCAAATGTATTCCTACGAAAAGTGTTGAAATTTGGTGGGAGAGTACTGATTTGCTGCTCTAGCCCTGAGTGGGGCTGGACAGTGCAGTTCCCACTCAGCCTTTTGAGCACAACAAGGCCGATCTGCACTTATTGCCCTTTTGTTGTGCGTGCACGCACACACACGCATACACACGCACACACATTCTCTCTCTCTTTCTCTTTCTCTCTCTCTGTCTCCTCCTTCTCCCATTCTAATAAAGTCCGAGTGGTATAGGATATGATATGTATTATGAAAGAAAAAAACACATTTAAAAAAATGTCCCTGGGGTGTTCCATTACTGAATTGAACTTCTACACAGAATAACAGTTTCACATACACCACTACTACAAGTGTCCCTGTGGCTTGGTTCAGGGGATGAAAGTGTTAAAAATCACTATCGCACTAGACACAGAACAATGATTTAAAAACTCCCTCACACCACTCACACTTACCTGTAGTATCACAAGTTGCCACCACAAAGAAAATTTATAAATGGGATGCCAGAGGTTACCCCACCAAATCAGATTTAAAATCTTCCAGAACGCAGTTTAGCTGTCTATCGATGAAATAAACTATACTATTAAATATGTCTCTTCAGGTAATGTGATTCTTATATCAGACAAAGGCAGAATTCCAGACCCCTAAAGCACTTCAGTTTGTGTGACGAGTGTGTCCTGTTTTTTTTAAGAACAAAAAGTGCAGATTTGAATAGAAATAGGTACTTTTATAAATTAATCTAGTCTCACCCCTGGCAGTCAATCAGACACCTAGCCCGGTTATTAACTGGTTGTTTAGCTCAGTGGAGCTTAACACAAGAGGCAGGAAGTTGGTCATAGCACTTGTCCTGCCTGCACTAGGAAGTCTGTAATTGGACTGCCACAGAATATCCATGTTGGGTTCGAAGGAGAGGTCTTGCAAATGCTTCAGATAAAAGATCTGCAGCTGTTTTAGATATGCGCCCAATGAAAAAATGCATAATTTAAAGTATGCATTTTTACATTGGGGTATATTTGCTGAACAGTGATTTTTGTTTTATTTTTGTATTTGGGCATTGGAGTGTCCCTTTAAGGGGACTAGCAGATTCTTTTTTTGTAAATAAAGTTTTTATTAGCAGTTCAGACAATAACAGATAGCAGAGCTTATATTGTCAGTGAGACTCGCAGGTCTCCAATTGCGTCTGACATGAGTACCACCAGTTTTAGGTGGATCTTTATAGAGCGCTATCGGAAGCGGATGGCTGCCGGCCCACACCAGTGAGGGCAGAACAATTCTATAGCTGAACCTCAATCAAATGGTGAGTAGTGCGGTAGGTCCCAGGTCACGTCCTCTAACATGGAGAGTGAGAAAGGGGTCGTTTTGCGAGATCGGGTCCTATAGTCTTGCACCTGGTCTAGGACTCCCCTTCCTGTTGTCATTTCCTTAACTTCGGTGGTGCCTAGGTATGTTGCGGGTTCTCTCCTGGGTCAGCTACCCTCTCGTTCTGAGTCCGCGTCCCCTCCCCCGACGCGAGGCGGTGCCATCACGACGGGAGGGGGGAGCGCCCAGCGGTGTGGTCAGTTGTCTCTGTCGTTTTGCTTACTTGTAGGCAGTAGTCGTTGTCGTGCTCCAGTCGCTGTCCACGTGTGGTATCTGTGGTGTGTCTGGAGTGTTGACTAGCAGATTCTTCATTTGTTTGTCTGCCTCCACTAGTTTCCATTCTTGTAATTAACCCCTTGAGAAAGCATGATGGAAAATGTCTGTCATGCAGTATTTTTTCATAAGGGACCGTTTCCCTGCTGGTAACTGGGAACCCCAGGTATAATTTGATTCCTGGGGCTCCCTTCTGCCACCTAGAACAAGATTAGTGGCCCCAGACTGACTGATACTCTGGTCGCACAGGGCAAATTGAGCACTGCAAACAGACATTTAAATGGGGGTTTAAATCCCCATTGTTGCAATGTGGTGTTAAATCCTTGCTCACACCAGGGAGTCCCAGATTTCAATGGCTAACTGGGGATACCATTTATCAACTGGGACCATTTCTAGTGGCCCCAGACTATTTGATGAGCTACATGCTGTGCCTGAATGCCCGTATCTAGATTGTGATGTGCTCACACCAGAAACCCAGGTATCAATAGATACCTGGGGCTTCTTTATGTCAGGTCGGGCCATTTTTAGTGGCCCCAGACTTCATGAAGAGTTGCATGCAGTGCTGAAAGTCATTCTCAAACAGGATATGGTGCTTGGCAGACCACCAGGATCCGAACAGACCCCAAAACTGATATGCCCCAATGCCATTCTGATCAGTGCTGAGCATTGTCAGTTGCCCAGAACATGCAATGCATTGGACATATTATCTTCAGTATTAGAGATAGGAGACTCTCTAAAAAGACTGTGTTTACAGCAAAAGGCCTGAATGTAATGATTCTACTCACCAGAACAAATTCAATAAACTGTCGTTCTTCTGGTGACTATAGTGTTCCTTTAAATTAAATTAAATTAAGGATTAAAATGAATGATTATGATTCAGTTTAAAATAAGTATTAGGTTTATTATTAAGTTACTGTTTAGGATTAGGCTTAGATTTAATGTTAGTATCAGGTTTATGGTTCAAATTAGGTTTAAGGGAATTCCTCTGCTGACATGAGCAGAGGGAATCATTCTAACACCATTGCTAAGATTAGGATTAAGGTTATATTTAGGGTTAGATATGGGTTTGGGGTAGAGGCTAGGATTGAGATGAGGTTTATGATTAGATTTAGGGTTAGATTTTGGATTAGGATTTGGTTTAGAACTACGGCTTAGTTTAGGATTAGGGATTTAGATTGGAATTAAGATTTCTATTTTCCAAAGGTATACATATGGGGTATTGTTGTACTCAGGAGATGTTGCTGAGAACAACTAAGATCATTTTATTACAGTCGGGTACACTTGATTTAAAAAAAATAAGCATTAAAGATACTATGACAAATATACATCAGGTTTACAAAATACACATTATATGTGTGTATGTTAAAAATCAGAAAAACACAATTTTACTACAATATTTAGCAGAGATCAGCAGTTAAATGGCTTCATAAAATGTGTCAAAATACCTTTACCTAAATAGCCTTTGATGTATGCTTTATAAAATATATACTTTTGTGTGGCAATTTTGTTTTCTATGATGGCAATTAAGCTTACAAGACAAACATACCAAATTCTAAAATCGCTCCAAATTGAAATTTTATTTTACTCCTTGTATTTTGTGACCTGTAACTACTGAAATCCTAGACATATGATGTACTCTGTAAATAAGAACAACTAAATTAATTTATTTTGAATTACTTTTCTTAATGTAATATGCACTAATTATTTTTTCCTTTTAAGCATTTTTTTATAATAAATTTGAATTTATATAAATATATCTCACATCAAATTAAAACCCCCTTCGCCCTTTAAAAAAAACGGTATATAACATCTGTTGGTGTAATAAATCAGAAAGATGCAAATTGTGGTTTAACACAAACCGATAAAAATGCAAACATTGTTTGTCTCCTTAAATGCAAGACAAGCTTCTCTGTGTCCATAAAACAAGGTCACAGCCAAGGTAACTTTCCTCAATATCCACATAAGAGTGACAATGACTGGTCTAGTTTTCATCTGCACATCACCTAGAGGCACATTTTATTTACTCTAAAACAAGTTTTTAGCAAATAGACTTCTCAAAAAGCTTTTAGGTATGAATATGGATGTTTGGAATAGTTTATTTATGATGAAAGAACAGCCTTGCTGACAGATCAGTGTAATGTTCCTTTGAAAAGCTTACCTCCTACCTTCTTACAGTGCCAGTAGAGGTAAGCCATACAATGATTTACATGCACCAACAATCCCACATTGCTGTTAATATTTAATAGTAGGAGCTTCAATACTATCTGTAAATGGGGATTCATGAAGATTCAACATAAAGGTAACAATATTTGCAGGAATTATTTTACTACTAATAAAGCTGACCACCCCTTAACCCTAATAATCCGTTTCACTCCATTGCTGTGTCTGTCCCCAAATTTTTGTCTCTCAATGTCCCCCTCCTGGTCTGTCCATTCCATTCTAGCATCATTACAGCATCATGTTATATTGGCTCTTTAAATGAACACTATAGGGTCAGGTACACAAACATGTATTCCTGACTCTAAAGTGTTAAAACCACCATTCAGGTGGCTTGCCCCACCTTAGCTCCCTTAGAAAGGGATAAAACTTTTTTTCCAGTGCAGTGCGGATCTGCAGGCACTGGGCCCGCCCCGATCCGCCTCTTTGGCTGACATCATCAGAATTGATGATCTCAGTCAATCCAGTGCTTTCCCATAGGGAAAGCATTGGATTGGTTGAGATTGCCAAAGAGGCGGGATTGGCGCAATCGCCAAGGAGATCGAATGTATGATCTCAATGCATCTCTATGAGGAATTTCAGCATCTCCATGAAGAGCTGAATGGCAATGCTGCACACAGTGAGCACTGACCAAGAAAGAACCTCTAGTGTCCATCTGAGGAATGGCCAGAGGCGGTGTCCCTAGGTTTTAATGTAAACACCGCCTTTTCTATGAAAAGAAAGTGTTGACATGAAAGAGCCTGCAGGGACTGTCTTTACTCACCATCAAGCTGTAATTGTTTTGGTGACTATAGTGTCCTTTTAATAAAGCTCTGGCCTTTTCAAGGCAGCTAGATGTTAGTGTCACTATAATACTTTACAGTTACTTTTTTCAAATGAAGTCCCTAATTACAATACCATATTTTCCGGCGTATAAGACGACTTTTTGCCCCTGGAAAATCTTTTCCAAAGTGGGGGGTCGTCTTATACGCCGGGTATGCTAATGCTGCAGCCGCCTGAGCGCTCTATAGAGAGCGCTCAGACGGCTGCCGCACTGCCTCTCTTACCTCCCCTTCCCTGTGCAGAGTGGGTGGCCGAGCTCCTCTTCGTCCTGTCAGTCCGGCCGGGTACCGCGCGGTACAGGAGATTCAGTTACCTGTTCCCGGCTGGACTGAAAGGAAGTGCACACTGAGGACTGACAGGACGAAGAGGAGCTCGGCCACCCACTCTGCACAGGGAAGGTGAGGTGAGAAGGAGGGAGTAAAAAGAATGGAGGGTGGGGGTGGGGGGAGTAAAAAGAATGGAGGGTGGGGGCGGGAGTAAAAAAAAAATGGAGGGGGGGAAAAAAAAGGGAGATTAAAAAGAATGGAGGGGGGATTAAAAAGAATGGAGGGGATAAAAATGGGGGATTAAAAAGAATGGAGGGGGGATTAAAAAGAATGGGGGGATTAAAAAGAATGGGGATTAAAAAGAATGGAGGGGGAATAAAAATTGGGGGTGAGTAAAAAAATGGAGGGGGGATTAAAAAGAATGGAGGGGAGGATTAAAAAAGAATGGAGGGGGGGATTAAAAAGAATGGAGGGGGGGAGTAAAAAGAATATATCGCAATTAGCCTCCTGTGTGCTAGACCAGCAGGCATGGATTATATGCCCAAACAGCCTGGCACATACCTGGGCTTTAAATGCGATTTCAGATTATCATTATTTAAAGGACCACTCTAGGCACCCAGACCACTTCAGCTTAATGAAGTGGTCTAGGTGCCAGGTCCAGCTAGGATTAACCCATTTTTTTATAAACATAGCAGTTTCAGAGAAACTGCTATGTTTACAAATGGGTTAATCCTTCCTCCAATTCCTCTAGTGGCTGTCTCATTGACAGCCGATAGAGGCGCTTGCGTGATTCTCAGTGTGAAAATCACAGTGAGAACATGCAAGCGTCCATAGGAAAGCATTGTATATTCTTTCCTATGCGACCGGATGAATGCGCGCGCAGCTCTTGCCGCGCGTGCGCATTCAGCCGAATGGGAGGAACGGAGGAGGATCGGAGGAGGAGAGCTCCACGCCCAGCGCCGGAAAAAGTTAAGTTTTTACCCCTTTCCTCTCCCCAGAGCCGGGCGGGAAGGGGACCCTGAGGGCACTATAGTGGTCCTTTAATGTCTTGCTGTGTAGCTCTGTCTGCTCACTGTACATCATGGCTAATTTTTATTTGGTGTGCATTGGAAGAGGGGTAGTCTTATACGGCGAGTATATCCCAAACTCTATATTTTAACTGGAAAAGTTGGGGGTCGTCTTATACGCCGGAAAATACGGTACATATTTTTTAATATGATATATATATTTTTTTGTTATTTTAATATTCTGAAAAACATATTAAAAATATTAAATTGGGGCTTCAGTACTTTGTTGAGATTTCTAAAATAAATCCTTCTTTTAGCAATATTCCATTGTAACACAATTAGGGAACCCCAGAATTCTGGATTCTTGGCTTTTTAAGTTAATTTGAACATTCTAATAATTTTCATTTCAATGTTTGTACTGCACATTTACAGGCCTGGGTTGACCAGCATCTAAAGTGTACACCATAGCTATGCAGTTAAAGCAATATCAAGTATCCCATTCCAAGTTATATTGTCCTAACATATCTCTGGATCCTTTACTCATCTCTTCTAAACTAGCCTGTTCAATCTCTCACCTGCATAAAGGGGTTAAGCAGTAGGTATTTCATAACATGTCTTTGAAGATACAAAACTCACACCTTCATATTACACTTACGCAGTGCAAATTGCATATCTTTCAGTGGGACTCACATCAAACACAGCTGTAGATTACAGGGAAATCTGAATCTGTTTATGTTTTCTTTCATTTATTTTTTTCAGTGTGAGGAGTTACAGCAGCATTTTAAAAAGGAGACGGCATATATCCCTCCTTCCTTCCAGCCTCTCAATCATTATCTTTGAAAATGGAAAGATCACAGAACAAGCTCTTTTTAAGTATGGATTAGTGGAGTTGCCAAACAACTGTGAGTAAGGAAGATAATGTCAGGGAAGTTTATGCCAGGCTGGGTGGCATTCAGTAAGAATTAATACAGAGTTATCTCTAGGATTGGTGGCCTTAGCTGTTCCTTTCTGGGCTTACAGCCTGTTGACGCAACAGAAGAATAACACATTGGACCCGTTCTGAAGACTTGCCTTTAAAAAAGCAGATGTAGAGTGCATTTAGTTTTGGATCTGTTGGAGTTTGTTAATAATTTAATAGACCTCATGGATGCGAATAAACAGGATGTATTCTTTAATAGGACATCTTTGCATTCTATGGCGATCCCATGGAGTTTGCAGATGGAGCACGGAAATACTCCTTTAATTGACCCATATGGAATTTCATTGCACTTTGATCCATCACCATGCTGGGACAGAAGGTTCTCGGGGCATTTTTCATGCCTGCCCTTCCAAAGACATTTGAGACTCTGTGACTATTCTCTGGAGCCAGCTTTCATTAGGAAAAGGAACGAAAGGGAGAGACAACGTGTGAGGTGTGTCAATGAAGGATATGCACGACTCAGACAGCATCTGCCACAGGATTTAGCTGAGAAAAGGCTCAGCAAGGTGGAAACTCTACGAGCTGCTATTGGTTACATCAAACAACTCCAGGAGTTACTGGATCTGGAAAGGTTAAGGTCTCCTGTGAAGGACACTCTTGCAGAGATCTCCCCACATTCTTTCCTCCATCCAACAATAGAGAGCGACAAACAAGGGCATTGTTTAAAGGACTCTACCTATGTGTTTTGTAAAGAGGAACTGTAGCTAAATCCAACAACAATTCCAACTATTGACTGCAAATTGGGGAACCATCATGACATCTACAAAAGTATTTTCCATATTTGTTTTCATCTTTATAAAGCTTTTTGCCTGTGTTTAAGAACTTATTTTCTGTGAATGATAATGAAATAACACATATTCTCCCCATGTGGATTGTGAATAATAATGAAATAACACATATATTCAATTCATGTGTACAATGGGCCCCAACTATGCATTTCTGTGCATCAAATTTCACTTTTTATTTTTCTTGTATTCAAATTGTATCATGCACCGATATATGTATCTTGTATTTATAAATAACAAGTCAGTTCGTTCAGTAAAATAATTTAAGTGCAAAATGTTTTTTTTTTGTGGAAGAGTTAGCTGGAAAGTTTAATCGACCTTTGACATTTGCATATTTCTTATATTCTAAAAGATTTACAATTTTCAGGAATAGAACTATGACATTAAATTGATTTGAACCTAAACTGTTAATTCATATACGTGCCCTACAGTAATATATATCCGGTCAGATTCTACAGAAATTTTTTAATAAGGGATTGGATGCTTTTTTGTATAAACAAAATATTCAAGGATAGAATTGTGTGGGAACAGGTTGTTGATACAAAGAGAAATCGTATTGTCATTAATTGGGTCAAGTAGGATTTTTTCGCATTTTGTGGCATAATTGAAAAAGGCAACAATTGGGGTTTTGGCGGCATGGAGAAATGGATTTTAAGGTTGAAATTGATGGACGTCAGTTTTTTTTCCCCCGCCTAGAAAACTATGTAACTATATAATACACGTACACACGCACAACTTTCGATGTCTCTATAAAGAACATTAACTTGTATCTACACTGGCAGCAGATTTGCTGGGACGTCACAGGACTTAGTTGTACAATTTATATTCAATAAAATATAACATTTATCTAGATTTTTCAAAGAATGGGAGTTTGTTTCAGGCTTTTGTTTCCACTGAATATGAAGTGTGGTAAAATTAAACAGGTTTTCAAAATGTAGGTCAGAAAAAGTCGACTGTAAATAAAATCTCAGTCTGCTAAGTTGGATATTTTTCGAACTCTAAATTTGCTAGCATTATGATGCTTAGTGTGTCCTGGTGAAATTACCAAATTTAATATTAAATACAAAGGAGTAGTTAGAGATAATTTAGGGATCTTCTCAGTACTTGGCGACTGACTGCTTCCTCCATAGTTACACTAATAGTGTGAAATTATAAGAAGTAGCAAAGTAATTTTGTTAAATTTTTAAATAAATAGAAGGCCCTACAAATCCAAAATACAATAATACCAAATCAGTAACAAATGAAAAATCCAAAAGCAAAGTAATCCAGCCGGTTACTTAGAGTGTTTAATTTAGAATTGCTTATTCATACTCTGTTAATATCACAAATAAAAGTGTGGCGGCACTACTAAAATATACAGGGTGTAATATGCTTTATTAAAAAAGTGTATCCCAAACACTTATAGTAAAATCAATATAAACCACAATAACAATACACCAAAAAGTGGAAAATCACACAATTAGTGACACTTGTAAATCAGGAACATTATGCTTACAAATACTGTTGATATGTGAATCTTCACAGTACAAAGTATCTACAGAGATAAAGACATAATACACAGTGCAAACTGTATAACCACTTGGGTATAATAAAGGGTTATATAAAACTCAGATTATAGAGCCGTGCCAGGCTCCAAAAGTTTTTTTCTTTTAATGTGTGAGTTTTTACAGAGAGTGATTTTTATTTTTATACAGTGTAATTTCTTAAACAATATAACACTCTAATTTTTCAGTTATAATCACCAATTCTGTGAGTGTACTTGTGTAAAGGATAAATATACACACATAGCTATTTCCTCTTTTGGTAGAACTAGTTTTAACTCTTTTCCTTTTTTTAGTACTCCGGTTACATATTGAGACATTTTAGAATGGTTATGTGTATTTAAAAAAAATACATAGGTTTAGTAAAGTAGCATATATGGACCCTACTACACTTAATAGCAAAATGGCCACAGTTATTATGGCCATGCAATATACAGAGAAAGAGTGGACTGGAAAAGAGGACTTTCATATGTCGGCCCAGCAACATAAATAAAGCCATAATGGAAATTACGTCTCCTGGTGATAGACCGGAAGTGATGGAGGACGTGTCTCCAAGTAAAGATCCTGGCAGAACTTAGAAATATTTTGGCCTAACGAAGACATCTATACAAGCACTGAAGAATACTTTATTATTAGTTAAAACAGGTTTGCTTTCCGTTTTTAGGAGTTGGAGCGGTGCATTTATTTCTTACTGCACATTTTATAACCAATTCAATTTCACTTAACCCCTTAAGGACACATGACGTGTGACATGTCATGGTTCCCTTTTATTCCAGAAGTTTGGTCCTTAAGGGGTTAAAAGGATTTTTAACCTATTGGCTGTTGTAATTCCAGATTTCGATAGCTTGGATAGGTACCTTGGGGCATATTATATAGAACCTGGCATGCGTCTATAATCTGTGAGTTTTATTTCACCCTTTATTACACCCATAATATACATAGTGGAAACTTATACAGTTCGCACTATGTGTATTAAGTTTTTATCTTAACATTATTTGTGGAGATCTCTAATGTTCCTGATTCATAAGTATTACTAATTGTGTGTAATTTTACACTTTTTTGGTGTGTTATTATTGTAGTTTGAAATACTGTTACCTGTTAAAGCGTGCAGGAGACCCCTGATTGTAATTAACAGAGCAGGATATAAAATCTTAAAAAGTAAACACACTGTGCAGTCACATCAGCCAGGGGAGTTGTGGCTACGACTGCATAAACCAAAGCAAAAGTGATTTAACTCCAAAATGGCAGAGAATTCAACATTGAGAACTCATTAAGTAGTTTTGGTGCTTATCTCATCACTTTTAAACACCCTGAAGCATATTTTTGTGTAGTAGTTTTGGACTCTGTCAGGGGCATTCACCAAACTTCATTTAGACAACCCAGACACGGTTTAAGCCAAGCATGTCAAACTCGCGGCCCACATTGGGTATTTTTGCAGCCCATGGCTGGACTGGCCTACTGGGAAATTTCGTGGTAGGCCCGCTTTGTGCTGTGCCTTCCCAAGGGCTGCGGTCAATCGTGTGCTTCATCGTATGGAGTCATATACAACGGTGGTGCTACAATGCGCAGAATAGCTGGCTGCATGCAGAGCAGGCCAGTCACTTCCCCTTCCCTGCTGCTCACAGTGCCAGAAGAGCGTGTGGTCTGCTTGAGCAGAGAAGATCGTGTAGGAAGGAAATAGGGGCTTGGGGGAACCTTCCTGTAGTGTAGTGTATTAAATTTGGGAGGCAGTGCATTAAATTTGGGAGGAGGAGCAGTGTATTAGAGTGGTGGGGACAAGGAGATGGGGGGAAGTGAATTAGAGTGGTGGGAGGGGGCAGTGTGTTAAATTGGGGGAAGCAAGGGGGAGGGTGTTGTGTATTTAACTGTATTTAACAGGGGGAGGGTGTTGTGTATTAGAATGGTGAGAGGGAGGAGGCAGTTTATTAGAGTGGTGGGAGGGATGGGAGGTAGTGTAAATTAGAGTGGAGGGAAACAGGCGGTGTATTAACCCCTTAAGGACGCAGCCAAATGTACAAGTTGTGATCAAAACAAAACGTAAACAAAACCTGACATTTGCGCTATATGTCTGTCCAACCGTAATTCACCTCTTTCATATTAAATGCACCCACACTTATTATATATCATTTTATTCAGGGGAAACAGGGCTTTCCTTTCCAAATATTTAGGTATGGAACATAATTTAATATGAATAAAATATAAAACAAAAATGGGAGAAAATCTGATTTTTTAAAATTTTCTTAGTTCTAAGTGACATTTTAACTGTGAATGCCAAAATACTGTTTGCTTTTACTGCAATAAAATACACATATTTGTATTCAGCGATGTCTCATGTGTAAAACAGTACCCCCTATGTACAGGTTTTATGGTGTTTTGGGAAGTTACAGGGTCAAATATAGCATGTTAAATTTTTCAGTTTTTTACATTGAAATTCGCCAGATTGGTTACGTTGCCTTTGAGACTGTATGGTAGCCCAGGAATGAAAATTACCCCCATGATGGCATACCATTTGCAATAGTAGACAACCCAAGGTATTGCAAATGGGGTATGTCGAGTCTTTTTTTAGTAGCCACTTGGTCAGAAACACTAGCCAAAGTTAATGTTAATATTTGTTTGTGTGTGAAAAATGCAAAAAACTAATTTGAATGCCAATTTTGGCAAGTGCAAATATATATATATACATACACACATACATATATATACATACACACATTACACACACACTTAGATCATATATGTTTTTTAAAATTATTTTTATTTATATATATAGGTATACATAGTGATATATACGTATATACTTATGTATATAGATATACATATTTCGTTCTACGTGTATTTTGATATCAATATATATTAATATCAAAATACAGTTAGAACCAAATTACACACATATATTTAATTTATTTTGTTATTTTATTTTTTAAACGTATTTACATATTTTATTTTTTAATATATATATATATATATATATATATATATATATATATATATATATATATATATATATATATATATATATATATATATATATATATAAATATAATATATCCTGGAAAGTCCCGCACTCAATTTGCCGGTCTTGTACTTGCCTCGGTGCTACCTCAGCCGTAATGAATATCGAAGAAAAACGAGTGCACTCCAGAGGTCTTCTTTTTAGAAAAATAACATTAAATTTATTGCAAAAACGTGTAGTAATACAACATGATCTAGATCATGTTGTATTACTACACGTTTTTGCAATAAATTTAATGTTATTTTTCTAAAAAGAAGACCTCTGGAGTGCACTGTTGGGATATATATATATATATATATATATATATATATATATATATATATATATATATATATATATATATATATATATAAAATTATAAATATATTTAATCAATATCATTCTACATGTATTTTGATATTAATATATTAATATTAAAATACACTTGGTGTATGTGTAAATGTGTATATATATATATATATATATATATATATATATATATATATATATATATTTTATTTGTAACTTTAATTTATTTTATTTTTAACCTAAGGGGTTAGGAGGGGAGGAGAGAGGCAGAGACAGTGTCAGTCAGTGATTTCAGATCACTGGCTGACACACAGGAACAGTGATCACAGTGACTGGCTGTCACTGAGATCACCTCCTGCAGATCGCGGTAATTGGCCACAGGGGGAGTGCCTGGGTGGCCAGGCATGCCCCCCAATGGGATCCTGCCTGCAGTTACTATGTGTCAGCCAATAGGCTGACATATAGTAACTCTGATCGCAGTGACAGGCTGTCACTGCGATCAAGCTGAGCAGATCGCGGTCACTGACCGCAGGGGGACTGCCTCGGGGGCCAGGCATGTCCCCCAACCGCGATCTGCAGCGGAAAATGCCGCGGCTCCATGTGTCAGCCGATTTAAAAATCGGCTGACACATGGTAAATACCGATCACAGTGACAGCTTGTCACTGCGATCGGAGGCTGCAGACCGCGGTCACTGGGGGGCTGCGATCTGCAGCGGCGTAATGCCGCCGGCCACGTGGGCGGCAAGGACGCCCAGGACGTTCTATGCCATCCTGCAGCATTTAGAGCCACCCCCTTAAGGACGGCATAGAACATCCTGTATCCTTAAGGGGTTAAATTTGAGTGGAGGGAGGCGGGCGGTGTATTAGATTGGAGGATAGAGGGGAGGCAGTGTATTACATTAGCGTGGTGGGAGTGGGGGTATTGTATTATATTGGGGAGGGGGCAGTGGGATGCTGTGTATTAGATTGGGGGGCATAGTAAGTAACTTGAAGTGAAACGTTTGAGTAAATTATATATGTACCCAGGATTACATATGTTTGCATATGGATGATACAGGTCATTTTAGTTTGTGATGGTTTATGTCAAACTTTTTTTTTTGGCCTACATAAACTTAAACCTTGTTTATTTGGCCCGTGTTAGCCTTTGAGTTTGACATGCTTGGTTTACACTATTTAACAATTTCTGAATTTTGCATGGCAGGTTCCAGATGGATTTCCAAAACACTGACCAGGATTGTTAAAATCCAGGGCTAGATCTAAAAAAATTTAAAATACTTGCCTGGTGGCACATATTACTATAAGCATTTTTTTTCATGCCTTCATATACCATGCTTCAAAATACTTGCTCAGAATATTGGGAATACCTTCGTCACAAACAGGTTCAGAAATAACTATAAAAAATATATATATATATTTGTGCAAAGAATTTACTGCAATTTGAATTTATTTGGCATGTGCAGATGCATTCAACCAGTTTTTCAACAACATAATCAAAATGCAAACACTGAAGTCAAAATAATGGTGATTCTGCACAAATGGTAAATGAAAATTAACTTTTTTTTCCAAAGGTTATTGAAAAGAAATTAAATAATTTTGAAACTGGTTTTTCCTAAGTATTTGGGTGGTGAGCTCATCTGCAATTTGCCTTCCCTGGAAGGCTGACTTGCTATGCCTTAATGTCAGACAGAGTTACTAGTGTAGTCCGTAGTGATTACAGAGCCTTGGTTTCTTCAGCCCTTGATAACTGCTACAGGACGCAGTTTGATAGCTTTCTTGCTAATCCCAGCATCATGACAGGTATTCACCACATCTGTCACATTCTTGTAAGATTCGGGAGCCTAAGAATAGTAAAAATATTGTTTTATTAAAAGTAAGAAAAACAAACAAACACACGTGATATTTTCTTCTATTCCTGTAAGCATGAAAAACAACAAAAAAACTAAACATTTTCTGGGATGTGTGGATGATTATTTTGTAACACCAAAACAGATTGCTAGTGCTTTCACCCATTATGCAGAGTTTAGTTGGGGTGGTATACCATCTCAGTCACTTGTTCTTGCATCCCTACGCACACCGAGACTTTACCAGTGGCTTCCCAAAAACCTCCTTCCTGCTCCACGCCCAGCTCTACATCCCACTGCTTCACATATGTCAACTCTCCTCAGTTAGTCGAAACTGAGCAAAACCTTATAGAAAAGTGATATCAGACCCTTTGCCTTGTCCCTTCCCCACACTGGATTTCAAAGAAGGTGGGGAATTGCAGTGCTGCCCACTTGACCCTCTCACTAGCAGCAAGCTCTAAGCTGCATGTAGCAAAAAACAAAAAAAAAAAAACAATCCATCAGGCAAAGTTTGTGAATCTTGGACAACTCCTCAAACGTTACCAGTTCTTTTATACAAATTTTTCATTAGCTGCAGGCCAGCTCTTGCTTGCCCCACAAAGTCCCTTGCAACCATGCCAGAGGGAATTCCCTATTTCTATACATTGAGGCCATTGTGGGAGGGTGGGTAATCAGGCTTGTCATCATCAGTATATGCAGATACAGTATACAGAGAGTTTGCCATCACGATGGCCCTGATGTCAGGGTGCTAGTGTTAGAACAATATACAAGAATAGTTTTTTTACCCTGTTTTCATATATATATATTGTAAGAAAAAACAAATGAACCAAAGACCTAGGTGCAACAATACGATATCACACACAGTTATCAATGGAATTGGGAGCACAACTATAACACGCATTTAATACAATTTAATACGTGGTTCACAAAATGTTTTAACATGGTGTAAATTTTGTAAATTGCAATACAGCCCCCAATATACAGGATTTGTTTACTAGTCCAGAAGAAATTATTCCAAAATACTGGTGGATCTGCAGTAAACAGCTTACCTCTTCCATGACCAGTTTGGGAGATGCCACACGAATTGCTATTCCCATATCTGCAAGCTTGTCCAGAACATCTTGGAAGTCCAAGTTTCGTCTGGATTTTGCTCGAGACAGAGCTCTTCCCTGTATAAAGTAACATGTGAAAAAAGCCATTAAGTGTCATTTTAAACCTCAAACACTGGTTGACAAGCAAGATGGTCAATATCTAAGACCACTAAATACTTTCATTATGCTGAATTTTAAAGCAGGTTTCTCACATTATAAATAAGAGTATGTTTAAATCAAAACCACAGTTATTAGTCATCTTTACCACATATTTCAGTACACTGACATATCACCAGATTTCTGACAAGGCACAGACAGTAATTTCATGCAGATTAAAATTTTCCCATGATCCTGGTGAAATGAAATTGTGTTTGGACTTGAAAGCCATAATATTGGGTAGATGTGCAGTTTTAAGGCTGGAATGGAAAACATAACTTTGAGCCACAAAGATAAAAGATTGTGTTGGATAAAAAAAAAAAAAAATCCTCTTATCACTTATGATAGCTTATTGTTGAGAAATAGGTCTTTTACATGAAAAAATAATCCGTACTATCTGAATGTTTGACATATTCAACTCACAGCTCCATGGCAGGTGGTGCCAAATGTCTCAGTCATTCCTTGTTCAGTACCGGTTAAGACATAACTACAGGTTCCCATGGTGCCACCGATAAGCACAGGTTGACCTGTCAACTGGAGAGAGGGCAGAAATACTTATTTGATGGATAAAAGCAGGCAGAGCCAATACACACTTTTGCATAGTGTGTGAGGAATTATACTACTCAGTGCAAAAACAAAAGGGCAACATTTCAGGATCTCATAACTACTTATATATTACATTCCATTATCAATAGTGTAACACAATTTGGCAACACAAACACAGTAAGAATTACACTAAATAATACTACGTGACTCCCTACTGTGACATACAGCATGTGAACAAAGGCAAGCTCATAATGGTAAATGACTAGCTGCTGTGAATGGTTATTATACAACGTCTGTAGAAGAGAGAAGTAAGTGATCGGAATGATCAAAATGCACTTGTTGCATCTCAAACATGGCCATTTTCCTTTTCATAGGAGATGCAATTTTACAACATGAAATGAGCAGCAGTGACAACTTAACTAAATGTAATAATTGTATGAGCAGAAAACTTTATGTAACCAATAAATGACAAAAGAATAAACAATATGTTTACAAAAGAAAATGTTACGGGGGAGTGGGGTAAAATAACTGTTCAGGATCAGTAATCTTCTATGAATACCAACAGGTTACACATGATCAGGAATCATACTGGTCACAGAGATTTGATTTACTTCAGCAAATAACAGGCTATGTTTCAAACTCATAGATGAGGATTGCTGCTGCTATAAGGTAAATTAAAGGGAAGTGAAGGGCCAGAGGGGATACCCTGCCTCCATGGATTAGGGGAATCTGAGGACCTCTCTGAAAGCCTGCAATCCATTGCTATAGCGATATATATATCCAGTTCTGCATGCTGTCCTTGCATTTCCCAATGATTTAGAGTGTTGCTGCTAAAATACCCAGCCGGCTCTCTGAGTCACTAAAGAAAGCTAGACTGCAAGGAGGTCCGACTTTGAGCTGCAACTGCCAAAGCAGATCACCAGGAATCCTATTATAACAGCCACCAGGGTTTATAAACCATGCTGTCCAAAAGGCAAACAAGAGGGGTTGAGGGGAAGGGGGTGTGGAATGCTG